ATTCCTTTAAGTCTACACTCCGTGAAAACTTCTTCACAGTCATGTATTCTAAACTATGGAATAGCCTGCCCCTAGATGTCAGAACTTGCTCTCCGGATTCAAGCTTCAAACGCTCTGTGTACAAACTGTTTCACTCTAGTGCTTATATTAATAAACTATTTACTCCTAGAAAATAGATATAGGCAGTTTTTTATTGGCTGTTGGCTAGCTGGCTTTTTATTGGTCTAAAATATAAATTAAAGCGCCAATCTCTTTATTTTTACACGGAAATTTACAGTCAGTAAAATTTCGGACTTACCTTACCATAATATAATGGCGTGTTAATTTTTTTGGTGTGAGTGTAGTGTGACAGTCACACGCTATTTGGATGCATTGTTGATGTTTAAAGTATATTGATATGCATGAGAATGTCCAGAAAGTGAATATAAATGAACAATAATTTTGATGCATTTATTTTAAGTCCAAAATAGGATGTATGCCATTTTGGTTACTAGGCGAATATAATTCAACTACCATTTCTATAAATTTAATGTGTCCTGAATTATTACATGTATAATTATGTATGTAGTAACTAATCTACTTTTTTAAGTCGTCAATTCAATGACATGTGGGATTTGTGCATACTAGGTCAGCATAAATCAAGTAAATTTCCCTTCAAACGGCTGAGAGCGACAGTTTAAAGCATACCTTGGTTGATTATTTCGTGATGAAAGCAATTTGGAGTCAGTTATAAATTACACCGATCTGTGTCTTATTCATACGTTTTTCAGCTGAGGATTTCCGGTTCATAGCATATCCTGAATAACGGTGATTAATACGATTTATCACTTAGACCGCAGCACCACCAAGCTTAAAACAATTCTAAATTTATTCTAACTTATTCCTCGATAATGCCTTTTTATGGTAACTGAAGAACATATTTACCCACTATGTTCTGAAATGACATAGGACATGCTTAAAAAGACAGCTGCGTGCTGAATCAAAACTTTCCGCTAAGGAGAAACGCTAGTCCATGCTTAATATGTCCTGTGAGGGCTGGAACAAAGTTGATAAGCAGACCCAGTAGGTTCGATTTAGTGCCACTCATGCTGAAAAATCAGCGCACAGTTTCACTGTCAAACAATGGCAAAACAGTAAGGGAGTCTACTGTTACTATTACTAGCATAGTCTATGTTACTATGTTAGCATAGTATACGTTAATTAGCTCAATGATTGCAGGTTTACAATAATCTTTGACTACCAACATAATAACTGTGAACTTCAGGCTAAAAATAAGCTAAATAGTAGCACCCAGTGACAAAAACTGACCTACACACTGCAAAATGAGCAAAACATCCAGAAAAACCTTTAAAATTCAATGGAAAACGAATTCACGAAAACATATAACTAGCCGGCGCAGGAACTCATCATGACCTAGAAACTGACTGTAGCCTCTTTCTTTACTCCTAGAACGAATCAGTCACTAATCAACCACAGCAGCTAAAAGACGCACTTCAACACACTTTGCAATCTAAAAAATATAAATAAATTAGCAGCATGGATGCATAAAGACTTAGTACGGAACATACAGGATTAGTTTACCCTTAGAAATAGGACGTGTCACTCTAGTGTAACCTTCAAACGCTTGCTATATAAACTGTTTTGTCCCAATGATTATCCGTACCAGAACCCATCACTTATTTCTAAAACGCATCAGTCGTTAGAACACTAAAACGCTCAGTCTCATTAATACACATTATGACACTAAATAAGATATAAGACTTCGCATAAATACGTGAAAACACAACTGCAATATAGGTAAATGTTTACTAAATTATAATATACAATTGACATAAACATTTATTAGTGCATAAAATATTAATGTGCTTTTCATTTTCACATACTTTCTCTTTCTGGTACTCTGCTGCTCCTATTCATCTTCTGGTCGAGGTCGAAAAATCCTGCATCTAAGCTGAAATGAGGATTAATTCCAAACCATCTATCTCATAACCACTCAAATTCCATGAACGATCCAATTCTACCATTTGAAGACGCTGGCGAACATGCTGTAAATGAGTATTCATGATCTGAAATGAAGAAGCAACTTGTTTTCGAACAGTTTCCAACATTTTAATCAACTTACATATACAGTCCGCCATGCAGACGCAAGTGCAGCAAATGGAGAATTCTGGAATCCACTTCGGCACCATTTGATACAGTAAAACAACTTCACATGACCTCATCTACTTTTCGCATCCACGATCAAATTTCTTTCCTGCTATAAAACTACGATAAGACTGCTGAAAAATGGAATAAATATATCACTGATCTCAACATAATACATTAATAAACATTGAGCCAAGGGTGCTGTTCACAACAAAGTTATATAGGAGAATTGACTTCAAGCTTTATTTTTCCCAGATATCTGTATTACATCTATCTGATGTCTGGGTTTTTTGTTAATGCGAAGACAATATTTCTATATTTCTTTATGTGCTACACAAACAGACTTTATAGCAGACTGTTCCGACTGACTCTAATGTCAGAAAGAACAACAAAACTGTAAATTCACCATACACCAAATTATGTGTAATTTATATGATAACTTATCCATGCATGTAAATTGGTATTTTCCTGCATGAACAGGAAGAAATATATATTATTAGTACATCTACCCTGACTGGCATCAAAACGAAGTTTACCAAAGAAGGTTTCGTGTGATGATGAATAGTTTTGGAACACACAAAGTTGGTACAAACCTCATAATCACACTTGGGCCTGCACAAACTTTAGGATGCAATCGAAACGCGTTTTATTGTAAAGTTTAAATGATGTGCAAAAGTCAATCTTATGTCCTGTCTCTATGATATGTTTCTCAGTAGAGGAGCTAAGGATCCTGTTCTCACCGTTGATGGCTTCTGAAGTTTCTGTTTGCTTTTGGAGGCATTTGGGAATATGATCCGAAGCCCTTATTTGCAGACATCGATGAGTTCTTTCTAAGTGGCAACAGTAACCACTTCTAAACTTTACGTCCGTAGCTTTAATAGATGTCAGACACTACGTTTAAATGATTCCAAAATAATTCTCTGAACCGCTGTTGTACAAACGCACATAATATGGTTCCGGGATAATAGCAAATAAGGTGAGGTTTATGAAACCAAACTCAATATTAGGACAAAATGATGCATACCTCAGATGCCGTTACGTACCTGATCACGAGGGTGCTATTGGAACACAACAGAGTCCTAGAATATGTTGTAGTGAGCATTTATCTCATTTAAAAATTTTCGCAGAAAGCAGCGAATGCTGAAAGTGGTAGTAAAACACGGTGCAGCCTCTGTCCACCTGAGAACACTAATCTTCGTTTTTATCTATGGATTCCATTGACTTTCAGCAATCGAAACTCTACACAAAAGTGCAAAAGCATGACTCTGCCGTCATGCATCAGAACTCTTTGTGAAATCAGCCAGTGTGCATCGCTAATCATAACTTTGCCATCTGGAGTCATGTATATAAGTTATATTTTGCTGACGCATATGGAGGACACAGGTGTAGTAACTAAATAAATCCTACCTGACCAAAAGAGTGAATCTCCAAATTTCAGGCGGTTCTACAGTTAGTTAAGGAGGACTCGCAGGTGTTTGAAGAGCATTGACTGCTAGGGAGGAAAAATTCACGGTTGAATGGATGCCGAGACTGTTTAAGTGTACTCCTCGAACAAATGTATCCTATTGAAGAGGGAGGGGACTGAGAAATCCGTTGATGCATTTTCACAATCTTTCGATAAGCAGTTCGAAAGAAGTAAAGGATGAGTTCTGTCAAAAACTCTCTAGTTTTCTGCGGAAAATGGAACTTCCAGATAAAGTCCTTTTAATAGGCGACTTCAATGACAGGCATGTTGATGGTTCCTATGGAGTACCTTACTAACGAACCAACATTGGTGATCAATTTTACCATTTTCCGCAGATGATCATCTGTGCCGGGTTAGCTCTAGCTTTAAACAAAAGATAGTGCATAATCTGGCGACAGCAGTCATCAAATTATCGATAAACCCAAGTAAACCACAGTGCTAAGCTGCCGTCTCCAATGATTGGCAATTTACTGACACCCCTTCTGGGACATTTGTGTAGGCTCTGACCAAACCCTGGTTCTTCCACGTTGTCACTTACATGAGAACAGACATTATGCAGGCAGAAACAATGGCATTTCACCCTCACAGTGATCAATACACTGAGTCCCAGATGAAGAAAGAAATAGCTAAGTAAGTATGTCAAATAGGTAGCGAGAAATATCCTGAGGAAGCCTGGCATAATATCCAGTCATCAGAACACACAGGACAACCCAAAACCAAAGTTGACAAAAGCCAGCGGACTTCTGTTAGATGGATGAAGCCCGCTGTTCCTTTTATTATTTCATTTCATTTTAGATGCACTAATCGAATTAACCTAAATCGACTTCAGAGACGTAGGCATTGACTTGTAAGCAGAGTACAGTCTTGTTGACAAGTGACATTGTAATCCTAGGTGAAGACTTTGTCGAAATATAGCGTTCCCCGAAATCGCCAAGAGGAAGCCTGGAAATTTCCTCCAGGCTGTTTGCCCTGTCAATAGTAAGGGGACTTTGTAGTAATGGACTGCACTGACTCCTAGTTTAAATTAAGCCATTGGTGCTACACTCATTTACTTGAACAGTGAAACTGAAAAACCTGGATGCTTCAGATGCCTGAAGTAGAAGCCTCTAAGTTTCAAAATGGGGAGGCGAAATTAGGAGGAAAATCGCTGATGTCTAAATAAGAGCAGGAGGAACCTAGACTCAAGACCTGGATGTGAGAGCTACACCTGGAATATTTTGTAGAATTACATGATTATTTGTTTACTTTGATATATATTGAGGGTTTTGAATACCTTTTTTGCCTGGGGTTGACATTATCATTTTTTCAAGATAGTGATAGCGGAACTTTGTTTTACACCAGCACTTTAGGCCGTACTCTATTAGCGCGTGGTAGAAGTATCTGTGTCAAGATGTCGCTGTTTTCAACGCCAGCCCTTAATAATTATCTATCGACTGCCACGACGTTTATTACGAAGTCTTTAGAAACAAAAGTATTCGATGACGGCGGTTCAAAGAGCACCTTTATTGTAAGTAAATACTTCCTTCTATATACTTTGGCTAAAAACTTTATCCCAATCCATTTACAAATTTGAGGCAATCTTGAGGTTTCAGATATTCTTATACGGAAAGATAACGCTCTTCTACAAATTATTCAAAATTAGGAGCTCGACAATCTCAAAATTGCTCAAACGTTTTTTATTTAAGTAAGAAATAAGTTTCTAATTGAGAACTAAATTGTGAGTGAACAGAGAAATGATTTACCGACTGAAAATATAGGTAAAGAGTCACAGTGATATGCAAAATTTAAATTAGTGAGAAGCGAGATAGGTGGCAAGCGAATTTAAGGAGCATTACCGAATAAGGGAGGAGATAACTGTGTGACAGAGGAAGATCCGAACTGATGTAAATTTAATTGAGACCATCACAGAGCAGTAAAAGTCAAATTCACTCATATATTCGGGGAAAATGTGATGACTTTCTGTCTCCATTTTAGATGAAGTCAAGTCAACGTTTTACTTCACTTCTATTTATGCGTTCTCCTGAACGGAATATCTCCTGATTTGATGTTTTTAAATGGTTTATTTCACATCTTTGTGCCTTTAGAAGTGTTTTGTCCATCTGGCTCCCAGTAATGCGCCTAGAATTTCGGGTTTATCAGCTCTGAGGTCTTACTTCATATCATTGTCATCATATGCTTAATTTATAAGTGAAAAGTACGGGGTTTTATTTGCTGTGATGATTAAAGCAAATACACGATGATGGAATTTCATATCACCATGACTTAAAAGTGTCGTTATCTTGTAATACTTCGAGCATATTACTAAAACCAATCTACTCTAGTACCTTGTTCATCAGAAGCTTAACTCACCTGAAAGTATTGGTGGCGAAAATTAATTTTAAAAGGCCAAATCAGTTGGCCCTATATTCGGAATTTCCATATATTTAGGCACAGCAAAGTTTCTGGTTAATCTCATGTACAGGTTTGTAACATTTTATTTAGCGTGAAAGATGAGTCGGAGAGCCTGAAACTGGGTGTGAATCAGTAAAATGACGTCATATACTAAGGTGAAGACTTATCGAAATAATATCACAACACTTTAAGCATTCGGAGAATAACTTACAGTTCGTTCATTTAGTGTTTACTTATTTCAGCTTGATATTTTTTTAAACCTAGTTATACTCTAGTACTACAGGTATTCACTTCTGCACGCTACACTTCATAGATGTTATTAGACATGCTCTGTAATTTTGGGTTATTGTCCGGATTGAAATATTTGTTTTTAGAAAGTCAAGTTTTTTGAGGTAAAATTAGTTATAACCAAAAGATTTGAGTATAGTTAGAATGAATTTTATTTGACTTATTATCTTCACTCTTTGATACAAGTATAAAACTTGGGCACTGTGGTAGAGTTTAACTCCATTATGGATAAGATTTTATTTTGATAAATCACACAGGGTTGTACAGTTATATTAAATGATGACGTTTCGAGCACAAACTATTGCTCATAATCATATGATTATGAGTTATGGAGTTATCTTCACTCTTTATTAGTTTACGCTATTTACTGATGCATTTTAATAATCACAAAGTCGCTTTAGTTTTAACTTATTTTGGAATTAATATTTCACCCATTATACCCTGCTCTTAACCATTCATTTATTCACTCTCCCTTTCTCAATGTGCTTGTCATGCAACTCAAGTGGTCACGAAGAGAAATCCTTCTTTATTGACAAAAATGTTCATTAAAGCTTGAAGATACTAGTGCAAATTGTTACAGTGGTGGATTTCTTGTTTTGCACTAATTAGACAAGATAATTTGAGATGCATGCAATTTAAGATATGCTTTAAAATGTATTGTGGATTATGTTTCTAAGGTGAATATTATGTGATTAATAACTACCAGCTATTTTTACTATTCACATGATGTCTTTCCAAATCCATTTTCGAAATCTTGTCAGCAATTTATTTTAAAAAAGTAGACTGTTCGACAATTTTTACTACTATTTGTGTTAAAGAATTAGAAATTCCATTGATTCTTTAGGGTGGAGAAGAGTTTGAGTTCTTGTTTGAAGACGTTCAAAATTTAAAATGTCAACACTTGTAGAAATTTCAAGCCTCTTTTTACAGGAAATATATTTTGATATTCTTCTTGTTAAATGCGGTGGCATAATAACACGGAAAGATGCCTTTATTTATAAAAAAAATTGTGTCAACGTATTACTGAGGATAATAGCTATGTGGTTATGCAACATTCCAACAGGCACACAACGGAAAGTTCAGAGGAGCGTTTGAGGTGAAGTGACCACCTACTAACACTGATGCTACTTCTGATTGTTTAGTCTGGATCGTGCAACAAAACGTGAAGTGAGAAAAGCTAGGCATAGTCTATCTAGACCAACAGAAAAACTACACGAGATATGGACACTGAACACGATTTAATTCTCATATCACACAAAATCAAAGATCTACATACAGAACAGACAGTGGAGCCAGGTCTTCAAGTGAACAAAGAGAAGACGGGGTTGATGAAGATATCCAACTGCAAACAACAACGAGCACCATTCACCACCATCAAGATAAATCTAAAGGCGGTCATCTCTTTCATTCGTTTAAGCAGCATCGTTTCATCTATAGACGACATAGATGTACATGTGAACGACAGGGTTGGAAAGGCATGACAAACTTTCATTACTCAGAAGCTAACGTAGAAATCTACTGCACTGAGGATAAATAACAAGATATAGATCTCCAATACTAAAGTCAAATAAGAGCCTAGATGAATTCTCTGGCAGGTGATATGAGCCACTCACGTAGGGAGGTGTAAACTGCCTGGTGGGGGACCAGTGGATGCTAAGAACCGATAGATGCAGAGTATTGGTGATGTGGTTCAAAATCGTCCTTAGTGGTGCAGGTGAATTTCCTCTTTCTTATCTTCCAGATCTATTCAATCCTCATGTTTTTCCATGCAATTAGTTTTTCTTCTGTACGCTGCTGTTCATTATATTTCTTTTGAATTTCTATTTTCTCTCCTTTCCTTACAATTTTGTGCTACTTGAAGTGTGGCAACTTGATCTGCTACACTTTTGTGGGAAGTTCGATATTAAAATTCGCTCAGTCAGTATTTCCGTTCCTATTAGTCCGTCGGAAATGCTAAGATTATAATAAACGGTTGGAATTTTGTGAGACCGTCTACAGTTATGTACATTATAATTTTTATTTATATTTTTTGTAGGGTATGAAGGCACCGTTAATTGGACGTTATGGTTTAACAATTAGTTCAGGTGGTACAATAAATATTGGTCGATTTAAAGATCCACGACAAAATTTACGTGATTCACGTGATAATAAAGTTGTTGTACCACCAGATTTTGGAATTACACCGGCAAAACCAATCCCAGCTACACGTGGCGGTGGTTTGGCCTCTGCAGCTTTATCGTATGATCAACTCAAAAGTCAACTGTTACAAAGTCGAACATTGTTCGAAGATCCAGAGTTTCCAGCCACTGATAGCAGTTTATACTTTAGTCAAAAACCACCAAGACAAATACAATGGTTACGTCCACATGTGAGTTCCTTTTGTCAATTTTTAAGAAACTGTCTCGTCAAAATTTGTTAAACTTTATTTTCAGCAGTTATTTTGTAGGGACTTGACTTGTTTCAAGTTTTATCACTTATTGGTGTCGGTCAGAGAACCACTGAGAACCATGGAGTACTGGACAGCTGTTTGCCCAGTTTGAGACTTTTTCCCGGTATACACCCACCAGGGTTCAAACTCAGTACCTTTCAGTTACAAGGCAAACTCGTAGACCATTTAGTCGTTGGTTGTCGGTTGCGCTTATATGGTAGAAGTTGGAGTTCGTCGGTCATTCGATCGGGTCCCAGTGGCTGTGGATGGCCTAATAGTTTGCCTTGTGCCCGAAAGGTCCTGGGTTCGAACCCATGTAGTTGCGTACTGATGAAGAGTCCCGAACCAGGGCAAAACAGATATCTAGTACTATCTCGTCTCTCAATGGTTCTCTAACTGACATCGATCCATGATAAAGTTTATTCTGTAGACTAAAATATGAGATTCACCTATTTATGAAAAAAACCTGTATTCATTTATTTATCAGCCTGAAACTGACAGCTTTCATCTAATCAGCTTGTAGTTTTAAAGACTGATCTATGGGACTTAGATCTGTTGCTTAGATACTAACTCAGTCAACAAGGTGTTGGACCAGCAGTATGTAGGTCTTCCCCGTCCCAGGTGGCATCAGTGGTACGGCGATTAGGACGCTCGCCGATCGTGCACTTGGTCCGGGGTTCGATTCCTGGCCGACACACTTCTGATATCAACAGTTGGTCTGCCAAATTAGGACTACCGATATCACATGCTGAAAATTCCATAGTTGTACCAAAAATATTATGTGTGGAATCAATCTATAATAAAATAAAATAAAAACAAAACACAATATATTCGTCGCCTGATTACAATAAGCCTTGTTCATGCAATCCCTTTAATATATATTTGTGACTAATAGCCGGGCTATTCTATTCATGTAGTTTAGCGTAGTTGGCTCGTCTTTATTTTCAAGAATTGAGTTTACTTTTCCAAAGTAAATGCCATGATGTTTAACAATCAGGAGGAATTAAATACCTCTTGGGAAAGAGTAGAACAAGTTGACTAAATTTCATTGACTATCACAAATGTTATATTCACTACTGACCGACGATTACAGGATGAAATTGCCTGTGATTCTGGTGAGGATGTGTAACTAGTATGTATGAGGACAACTACTCACCGATGACACTGTTTTGTGGGGGGAGGGTATATATACTGCGAGTCGGCGGAATTTAGAATTCATGTGCTGACTAGCCAGTGAACTCGCCTGGTAAGCTGAAGGTTCTGCGTCCTATCCTTGATGGGGTGATGGGTGTTAACCACTAGTTGTCCACTACTCCCTGGTTTTTAATGGTTCCCTAATTGATATCAGTTTATGGTCTAGCTTGAGATCAATTAAAGATCTACAAGCCAACACTGAAAAATTAGTGCTTAAATATGATGAAAAGTTGGTTGATTCAATTTATTTGTGACTGGAAGTTGAAACTATCACATTTAGATAAATTCACTTGCTTTTTGTTTTAACTATTCTTGTAAAATTTCGTTAAATGCAAAAGAATTCGTTAAAAGAGGCTGACATTTTATAAGCGAATTTATGAGAAGATGTAGTCTACATTAAGCCGTAAACTTGTGGTATGATTTAGCGAAACTTAAACTATGAGTACGTCCACTCTCTCAACTGGTTGATCTTATCTTGATATCAGTCTCCAACCCATTAGGAGTTACTGGATAGATATCCTTATTTACTAATGAGGAATTGTGAATTATGGCATACTGTGAGTTAGGATGAAGCGGTTGTTTATCTATCAATGGCACTCACTGACGATAGATAGCATCAGATTTCCAACTTACAAAAGTCAAAATTCTACACTTCATTGAATTCTAACTGGCTGGCTGAATGGTCGATGGGTTGGCCTCCTAAGTTCGACTCTGTTTGGATCACAGGTGTACGTACTGCTGGATAGTCCATGTTAGGACAACATAGATATGTAAATTCTCCATGATTTTAATATGTCAATCAAGTGGTAGTATGAAATGGCATATGAGATGGCTGAGGCATCTGTTAAGCATACTGAGCCACCATTTTTCACTATAAGCAGCATTAACTGATATAGAACTAGGCTGAGAAAGAGTGAGGGATGCTCAACAAAAATCTGTCACAAATCCATGAAATTTTTAGCTGATAGTTGAAGCTCTGAAGGGAGGTGTAAACTGCCTAGTTGGGATTATTCTCTGGATGCTAAACATCGGCAGAACAGGATTGACATGGCTGGAAATCTTTCTCATCAGCTTAGGTGTTTTCACTCCTTTTGAAAATGTATTCACTATTCTTCTTCTTCTTCTTTTGCTTCATCTAGACGGTGTTTCTCTGGTACATTTTAGTCTATTATAGTTTCAATACACTTCCTCCCAATATACTTTTTTCCATATTTGCCATTACAAAGTTAGGTGACTTGAACTTATACACGTTTAGGCTAAAGTTCTGCTTTGGTAACTCAGTTCACTTGAGTTTAGTGTTTGTTGAAACCAGTGCAGTATTTATGTCATCGGGACATTTCATTTTAAAAGTAGAAAATAGAAAGCTTTTTCTATATCCTTTTTGATGTATTTGCCACGATATATGGGGATATGTGCTCACCAAAGAATATATATTGGTATCTTAACATTTTGGTTATTTCCGCTTTCATCTCACGTTTGTCTGCTTTCATTGTGATAATGTCCTATTCCTCTTATCTTATACCTTTTATCTTCTATTTCAAAATGTGCGTGTGTGCGTGCATCAGTGTTCGAAGTTACGTTGGACCTAAGAAATCTTTGATCACTGTTGATATACCAACTCCTAGTATTCGAATGCTTCGAGGATGTCTGAGGAGTAACGCGAAGTAATATATATTTTAGTTGGTGGTGTCTAGAGCAGTGGAATCCAGAATTTATATTTCATTTTGCTTAGGACTTGTCAACTGGGTATGCTTGTATTCTCAATGAGTAATGGTGTATTCCCACTGAGACATCTATGCCTTGAACCTATCGCTTCACACACACACACACACCAAAGAGTTATCGACTTGACCACAGTAACTTTTTAACTATCTGAGGTAAGATTAACTGTATAGCTTCATGAGTTTAAACTTCTGAACTTAAATCTTTGACTGTTGATACATGAATATATATATATAGTTAACAATGTTTCGATGTTGTTGATCTTGAGGTTATAATCTAAGATATAGGCCTCAGCTGGTAGAGTGTTATTCACCTAGTGAGAGATGATTGGAGGTGTAGTGAAAATGCGCGCCTCAGTAGGATTCTAACCAGTGGTATCTGAATTATTACTCTGAGGTATTTTCCACCAGTTGTGTTACTACTGGACTCAAACGCTAACTAGGTCATCACCTCACTACGATTATCGCATATTATCCTTAACATCACTAATTCAGTATGATTTGAAATAGGAGGAAAAGACCAAGATGTACCTGTAACAACAGAAGACAAGGGCCGGGAACCAATCGTTTTTATTGTGGAAATCAACACGTATTTATATATATTTCCTGTACATTGTTATAGCTTATTCAAGTAGACAAACACAGGCTTCTGATTGGTTGTTTCGGGTAACATCGAAAAGTGAAGCTAACTATCTGCGAATCATATTTGCCCACGTTAAGTTTGTTGTGATTGGTTGTTGAATTAGCCTTGTTCATATTTTCTCACGGCCAATATTAGTGACCTAGACATTGATGTAGATTAATGTCTACCAGTTGGCTAGCAGCCTGCTCTCACCTAAAAATACCTACAGCGACCTAGATTCCCATT